GCATGGTGATTTGTGTAATTAGATGGAGTATCATTGATATTCATAGAGGTATTATAATTTGTGTTATATTATTATATATTGCTTTGTTTTAATAGCACTATCGTGATTAATTTAGTTTTTATAATTTTGGGATAGAAAATATTACCATTTCATCTACGCTTCCTACCCAATTTGTACTGAATCATCTAGTTGCAGGGGTCGATGATTTCAAGTCGAGGTTAATTTTGTGATTTACCCTTGGAGTGTGTTAATCATAATATATGTGTTGTTCATACTCCGACTCTTTATTTGAACATATATGCGTTGTTCATTACACATTGTGAGCATTTGATGAGTTGTTGTTTGTCTGCATTGTAGTCTACTAAAAAAAAGACTAATGGCAGAAGACATGGAGAGACCTAACGAAGAGTTTTAATAGCATTATCGTGATTAATTTAGTTTTTATAATTTAGGGATAGAAAATGTTACCATTTCATCTACGCTTCCTACCCAGTTTGTACTGAATCATCTAGTTGTTGAGGTCGATGATTTTAAGTTGAGGTTAATTTTGTGATTTACCCTTGGAGTGTGTTAATCATAATATATGTGTTGTTCATACTCTGACTCTTTATTTGAACATATATACGTTGTTCATTACACATTGTGGGTATTTGATGAGTTGTTGTTTGTCTGCATTGTAATCTACTAAAAAAAGACCAATGGCAGAAGACATGGAGAGACCTAACGAAGAGTTAATACATCGAAGGAGTGATATGTCTTTTGGAAAGGGAGCGAGAGGATCTCGGGTGGTTTAAGATTAGATTTTTTAAGAGATCTCTCTGTGTTGTTTTATTGTTGGGGTTATTTCATGGTGATTTCTTAGAATTATTTTGATTTCGTATCAAGGGATGGTTCAATTCATAGTTTTTGATTTTTGTTTTGGTAATAAATAAAAATATGAAATATTGTTAATCACCTCATTGGATGAACGATATGTTTATATCAGGCAAGTGGAGAAAATTAGTAATCACCTCCTTCAGTCATCTAGGTCATAATCCTTTTGTATATATTTTTTTACTGTTTTGCGGCATGGTTGCATTGTCGAGTGGGATTTTTTTGAAGAAGCTGCACAGAAAAGATAAGTTCGCAAAAGCCTAATACTATGTTCGGAAAAGTGATACGCAGAACAAAGGAATTAAACCCTAAAAATAGCTTTAAGTATTAAAGAGCAAACTCGAAAAGATCAATGCATAAAGCCCTACTCAAGATAAGAATAGGGTTTTAGGCAGTTTAGACGTTTTACTTTTTATATTATCCATCTTTTAACTTTTTTGATATTTTATGCGCTTTAATTTAAATTATATATTTTTGAGTTTTCACTATAAATAAATATGTACATATATATCTATGTATATTCGAAAGATGTGAATATTATAATTTTATATATAAATCTTCTAATTAAGATATTTATGTGTTGTTAACTGTTAATCGAACTGAAATTTTCTAATCGCTGTAGATTGTATCTATCTACATATGGTTCAATAGGAAACCTTTATTATTCTGGTAGTTTGGTATAAATGCTTCTTATGTTTCGCTGTTTCAATGCATTCTACTACATTGGCCTATTAATAAACATATAATAATCTCTAACTTTTTGTCAACTTACGCAAAAAGGATTCACGTGTAATCCAGCTTCTTTTGATGTTCCACAGTTAAGTCCTGGTTTTGTAGAGACAACCGTTTTGGTGAAGGTTCTACGAGTGTGAACTATTTCGTTTGATCCATCTGATATAAGATTGGAAGTATTTTTTTGCGATGATTAATTTTTAGTTTATGTGGTGTGGTTTCGTACGTGGGTATTTCATTGTTTGCTTCATTGTTATGTTGCATGGTGTGAACATCTGTGGTACCATTTACGCTGGTGATTACGATCATTTCTCTCCTCAGTTATGTGAGGGTATTTGGATTATAATTAAGAAGTTTGTTGTTATCGATGTGGATCAACCTTTTAGAATTACACCTCATTGTATTATCTCGCTTATCGTGAGTCTGACTGTTGTTGATAGGTAAGATTATCTGTGTGAACAGAATTTCTTTAAATTCGTATACTTTGAGCAGGTTCTCAACAAGATTCCTACCGAAAGTTTTTCAGTTGGTATGTTAATTTATTGTCTATGTGTTCGTTTGCTGTAGATTTTGACACTAATATAATTTTGTTTTAAATATTGAGTGTTTAAGTTTTGGATATTTTTAGATTTGATTGGAGAAGGTTTCAATGTTGGAAAGTTAGAAATTCCTACCAAACACTGTATTGATAAGGGGGTTTGGTGAATATGTAATGCTCGCATTCGAGCTGGGGTATCTGAGGCCTATTGCTGTAACTAATGATTTGTTTCTTGAGATTTTGTTTACTGTCATTTGACATACATTCTTTCATTTATGCAGCAACATTTGTATCATATACGAGATGTTTGACAGCGATACTCATAAGTTCCATGCTGATTGGTTTAGTTGTGCCGATGATACGGTGGTTTTTGTTGCAAGATAGGCAATTGTTGATGTCTATGAAGGTTTGCGAGATTTGTTATTTTTTTGTTGTTGTTTAAAATGAATTTGTTTTACAACTTTCGATTATCTATATTTAGGAAAAGTTGTTATATCTTCTATGCATCCCACTGTGATCATGGTGAAGCTTCGCCTCGCAGAAGTAACCGAATTTAGATCCATGTTAGTTTATCTATTAACTTTGAGTTTCTTCTCTTGATTGTATTTTTGAGTAGTTGTTTTAAAATATTTTTCAGGATACCAAAGAAGTGTTCGAGTATAGATGTCGAGTTGAAAACTGAAAACCTCTGAAGCAAAAATCTAATTTTTAGTTTTAGTGTGTTTTTATTTTAGCTTTTGTTAAGCAATAAATTTCTAATTATAAAAAACAAAAGAAAACTTTGTTTATATTCTCATATCCTAAATATGATAACTTTAGAGACGAAAAATGTTGATTCCTTTATTTGCGTTGATGTATCTTTATTGTTTGCGATATATTATTCATGCTAATATGACAAGTCGCCAATATTGGTAACTTCTCTACGCTTATGGGGTTACCTTCACATTTGAAAAATAATAATTTACGATTCGATCTAGTGAATCAAAGGTACCGTTATACATAATTTCCATATTGTTATCATATTTATTCCAATGTTCTTTTAGAAATTGTCATTTAACGCAAAAATAAAATAAAATACTATTGTAAGTTTATCGGAAGATGAAAAAAATTTAATTGCACTCAAAATGAAAAAACATATTATGGATATATATGTATAATATAGATATATTCTATAAGTATATATATATATATGTAATATATATTTTCCTAATGGTATTATAACTATATTGAATATTGACCATCTTTTTTTATATATTTCTTGATTTACCTTACACTTTGATATTATTCACGTTTGAAAATCGAAGAAACTCATGGCTCACTTGCTTTCGAGAAGTATTTATCAAAAATTTGATAAGGTTCGCTACAAAGTGTCGGAATTAGATCCGTTCAACCACAGATGGAGTGTCCGGGTCAAGGTTCTCCGTATATTCAAACACTTGGTCGGGTTAGAGATTTGTTTAATATGATTTTGGTTGATGACAAAGTAATTGGTTGTTTTCTCACGTAGTCATTCTATATGCTCATCTGATTTTCTGGAGAGGTTTAATCCCAAAACCGTTTGTCGTATTTGTGAAGGATGATAAAATTCATGCAGTATTATGCGAAGATATTGGATACATATTTTTGGTGCAAATTTTTTGAGGGTGATTGGATTGTGTTGTTTGATTTTGAACTTATGCCTGTTGTTGGAGAGTTTCGACCGAGCATGCAAAAGATTAGGATTAATTGTTAGACACGTACGATGTTTGTTAAGGCTCCTCCCAGGTATATTGACAGCCATCTTTCTTTCGTGGATATCGATGCCATTAGATATGATCGTTTGGATCCTAATGTATGTATTGGTGAGTTTAGTTATCTTTAGAAACTTTGATTAATTAAACAAAATTACTCAAATAGTGTTTATATTTCAGATGTAATCGATTGAGTTGTTAATATTGAGCATTATAGAGGTCGTCATGCTCTTGGTTCTGATAAGCAAACTGATATATCTTTTGAGCTTATGGATGAACATGATGTTTTTTCTAATGTAATTTTTTTTAATAATTATAATTCACTAATTTATTCGGTTGATAGTTTTGTTAATTCTATTACCTGGTATGACAGTGGTTTGCATTTACCAATACTTTTGAAAAGAGAATATTCAGAGGTTTTTTTGGAAGCTTGGTCTATGTGCAATCAGCAACTCGCTATTTTCATAATGAGGTTTGTGTCGATTATTCGAAGGAAAGGTTTTTGGAGAGTATAAATCCCAAATGATGTAATCTTGAAAAGAGTTGGAGAGTAAAAATGAACTAATCATTTAAGAGTTGGAGAGTAAAAATAAACCAATCATTTACATCAAAATAAGTAAAGAGTTGAGAAGGAGAAATAATGTTTGACTTCTCTTCTCGATTATGGAATAATTTGTTAAACGGTTCTATGAGTCTTTATGCTCTTCTTCTTGATTTTCTATGCTCTTCTTCTTGATTTTCTCTTTCAAGATTGCTTTATTCTTTTCTTGTTTTTGTTTTTAACTAATATAATTTGTGTTTATTATCATCAATGTTATGATATAACCAATTTTTTATTATAAAAATATAAAATGTAAATAAAATAAAATAATTTGCTTATTAACATGTGAATATTTTACTCATATTTGAGAAATTACAAAGTAAATACATTTTTGTTAATAAAATTAAAACTTTTTGTGAACTTTTAACAAAATAAAATAAAGTAATTAAAATCTTATTAGGTACACGGTAGTAGAGATATTAATCGTGACTAACATAATTATAAGCATGTTATACCCACTTGGCCATAAATTCAAGTTTACAAATTCGAACCTCTCTTACAACATAATTTTGGATATTCATGTGTGTATAAATCGACAACAGATCCAGAAAACAGAATTGCCCCAAAACTTTATTTCATTAATGCATTAGAAGTTACATAATAAACCATGCATTTTTTTTTAACAACTACATACTCCCTTCCTACAATAAGGTCCTGGTGTATTACAACGAACAATTTTCCTACAATCCATATCCATTTGACAAGAAAAATGGAAACACGTTCCTCCAATTCCATCACCACACCATATACCAAAAGGGGATTTGTATTCATCTTTCGAGACACATAGTGGCAAAGCTCTTGCTACATCGGTTACAAGCAACATAATTGTGCCTACAAAAGAAATGATTTAGTCAACATATTTAAACATGCTTTAGAGTTTATTTAGTTTTAATATAGAGATATAGCCAAAGACAAGAACTCACAAAATATCATAAAGGACAGGAGGAGAAATGATGTTGATCTTGACGCCATTTTGTTTATTCAGAATAGATGGAGAAAAATGTTTAACTCTGAATTTTGTTTTTTTTTAGTTTTTAATGGATCATATAAATATTAATTATTGAAACATTTCATGTAGTCTTTGAAATGTTCTCCTTTCGTTCTCATTGCTTATCCGGTAACACATAGTAATATTTCATGGAATTTTGCTTAACTAGCCATTCATATAAGATTTATTTCCTTAAATATCTTTCATACAAAAATTTACTGCTTATATTGGATATTATAAATACAAATTCATAAAATACATGCATATTTACGTATATTTCTTAAATTTCCAACTTTCCAAATCTTTCTATGCCTCATTGTTTATTTCTAAACTTTTCATTTTTCCAAATTTTTTCTTTACCAAATTTCTGAACTTCCAAAAACAAATTCCGAATTGGTAACAAATTGCATTTCATGTAATTTCAATGCCATTCATATAAGATTTCTTTTCTTCATCTCTTTCATTTCAAAATTAAATTAGAAAATTAAAAAGCAATATGTCATATGTGAAATATTAAAATTATAGTGTTTCCTACATAACTTGGTAACATTATTGTTTTTAATATCATTTAACAATATTCTTTGATGTCCCACATACAATCTCATATTGGTTTGTTAGAAAGAAAAAATAAAAACTGCTCGAAAATTTCTCTATGTACATATTTATCCAATAAGAAGAAGAAGTCTTTGTTTTTATTTTTATTATCATCACAAAGAAAAAATATAAAACATTTGAATTTCTAAATTCTCTAACCATCAAGCAGTAACATTGTAAATTAACAGAGACAATCTTTCCAAAAACGCAAGTAAGCCTGTCTTCACAGTCACTTATTGTCTGGCACGGTAATGGTATATGTAGGGTTTAGGTTAGACCTTTTCTGCTTGAGAGTTGTGAAATTAGCAGACATTAACACAGAGAGTCTACACATTTGACGTACCTTTTGAACATCTTGAAAATTACGTACTGTCAAGTAGCTATGATATTTTACCTGCGTTTCGGCTTTAGGTATGCTTACTAATATCATATCTAACTAGGGATGTTTCCGCGCTACCCGCGGATTGTCTTTATAAATATTTGATTATTATTTAAAGTAAATTATTCAATAAATAAATTAATATTTTAAATATAATAATTTATTTGCAATATTTTTGATGTGGTTATAGATCAAAATATTTTTAACCTATTCAAAAAACGTATTATGATTTAATTTAAAAATTTACTAACTTGATATATGTGAAAATTAACTGTTAATCTAAAACTTAATATTTCTATATAAATTAGTACAATAACTTTCAAATTATTATGAAAATAAATCTTGGTTTAACTAAATTTGATATATAATTGAATTCAACAACTATAAGTTTTTTCTTTATTTAATTTAAAATATTTTTTATTTCAAATAAAAAGAAAATAACTTATCAAACATATGACTACAACTGAAGCACCTGATTATTGTTCCAATTAATTTGGATTTTTTTTCATTTCAATTATATACGTGTAATTTGTTTTTCATTAGCAGTTTCAAATAAAAAACAACAGTCAATATTTAAAACTTTTACAAATCCTTAAAAGAACTATTGCTCATATAAATGAAAAACCATTTACATAGTATACAAAATCACAATCATATTGATAAACTGCAATTTTGATTTGATCTCTGAAGCATCTATAAACTATTGAATTTGTACATTTACATTTATCATATACAAATAGAGTATCCTTAATATACAACATTAATCATATATTAAACATATAAAATGTTTTGTGCCCACATATGTAAAATACAGTTGTGTTAATTTTTTTTTAAAATATTTATTTGTTATATATATACTATGTATGTTTGTAAAAGATGAATATTTTAGATTGTTCTAAATTTTGAATATTTTCAATTTTGTTTTAGAAATGACTATTTTGTAACTTTGTTTCTATTGACTGTTATTTAAGTCTTTTGCAGCAATTTGTTTTCTAAAATATTTTATGTGTATTTCAAAAAAAAAACTAAAATGAGAGTTTTTTATTTTTGTGTGGATAGAATTCATATCTCATAATATTATATGTTATCGATTTTTAGTTTAAATGTGTGATTATTATTAATTTGGACTGTAAGAATTTTAAATATTCAACATATAACTAAATTTTCTTTTTGTTAAAATTAGGTTATATGTCATATGTTTTTGTTACTACAATATATAAAATTTAATCAATATTCACGTATTACTATTACTGTTGAATAAATACTATTTAATTTTAAGCATGTTATAAATATATTAAAGAATTATTTTTATTAGAAATCTGCTGATGTGGCAAAATTATAAAGAGATTTTTTTTGCTGATGTGGATGGCTTAAAGAGTCCCAAAGAGTTCCTTTCATTTAGTATAGATTTGTGATAGATAGTCACCTATAAGGCTAAACGGAGTAATTAAGCTATAGGAAATGAGATCATACAAAGTATGTAATGAGACGATGGGAGAGTAATCAAGATCAAAGAGCAACTCTAACAAATCAACAACAACGTCAATTCAAATTGTAAATGTGTATATGGAAATAGAAAGAATAAGTGATCCCTAGTCTTTAATGGCTCTCAAGAGAACAAGCACGATTGAATACAACTCTAACTGCGAGTAGTACGTGTCCCTATATAAAGCCTCTATATCTTTGATTGCAATCCATTTAATATAAGAAAATCTAAGAATGGATTATCTGCATTCTGCACCCAAATTTGATAGATCTTCCAAAGATAGATCAATAGGTTTTGATCATTGTGCTGTTAAAGACTACTATGGTATCTTTTATTATAGATTCATCCGAAGTTGGAATTTAACAACCATCATCACTTCCTTGAATAAAAATTTCCACACATATATCTCCGAGCTTCCATAGCTGAAGAAATGTCAAAATCAAAACCATTAAACTAATCTATATCGCAGCACATAAACCAATGTAATTATATAAGTGGACATCATCATCATCAATGCTTATGTTTATGTGGCGCAAACACGGTACAGAAAAATTACACGAGATTTTGGATTATGAACTTCCATAAGTTTTTATAGTAGAAATATATTGTTGAACCAGAAAATCACCACTAGAGATTTGATTAATAATCGTGGGTTTTGGAGAATAAAATTTTTTTATTAATAGTTTTAAGACGAAACGATTACAAGAGACGGCTTAACCGAAAAGTTATGTCGAGATGAAAATTATTTACGAGGTAAACTAGAAAGTGTTGGAGTCTCTGGTTTTAGCTCTGCTGCTCTCTAGATTGTATGAGTTGATCTCTTTAGCTTCGGGGTCTCCTTATTTATAGAGATAGGAGGTCGGTTGCTCCGAACTACTTTTTTTTTTTTCCTTTGGTGAATATTTCTATATTTGTGATACGGAAATATCTCTTATTCTCCAAAAATATAGAAATTCTCCTTTATTCTTCGAATAAATTCGATGTTTCCGGACTTCAAAGATTATTTTTAGGAGTTTTTCTTTATCCAAGCTAGGTCGGCGCAGTCCTCTTAATCTTGATAGGTTTAGATTATTGTTAGAGAAAATCTTTTAGAAAATGTATTCATTTCCCCTTCTCCTCTTTGAAACTACTGTCTCGATGCGGGTATGAGAGTTTACAAGTGAATTTGGGTAAAATCAACAAATTTTAGGAATTATTAATGTATACAGCTATATAATTAATGATATAGAAAACTATGAATAAATGTTAACCAAACTCCAAAGATATATGGTTGTGAAATATAAAGGCGGTATGGTTACTGTATGGACCATGAAGTCGTTTATATGGCCGACGTCATTATTGGTTTCAATGGTTTGTGTCGTCGCCATTAGCATCGTGCCGTGTTAGAACACGATTTTTTTTATTTTATTATATTATTGCTGCTATTTATATGTGTAGACACACTTGTCCATATACTTTATGCGTGTGTGTTTATTTCGGTCACTCAGATAAATTCACATTATCTCCCTACTAAATCTATTAAAAACAGAAAAAAAAACATATTAACGACGGGGTCAGTTTTGTGCGGTCATATTGTTATACTACGTACTAATCTTCTTGATCTTGATTTATGAATGTCGTACAGTAGCTGACAAACACACACAAAAAAAAAAAAGAAGAATAGTCTAATTCAATTGCGGAAAGTACTATAACAAGTTGTAATACTTTTCGAATTTGAAAATTAGAATTCATAATTTAGTTTAGAACATGTATGATCGTTACCAGTACGGCAGTACCACAAATCGACCAGTAAACAATTACTTAATACATAATTGAATGAATGTGTCTACGTGAAGCCTTTATCTGGCCTATTGAAGAACATTCTTTCAAATGAGACTATTTAACTTTAAGGCGGGATGGTTTTTGTCCGATCTTCTAGTCTTTGTATTTCTGTTCTCTGTGTTTCCTCCTATTGGATAATAGTCTTTGTATTTCTGTTCTCTGTGTTTTCTCATATTGGATAATAAATTTATTTTAATTTTATTTGTTAGTCTGAAAGAACTGAATGTGTCTTTCTTGATAGTCGGACCACATATTAGTTCTGTTATTCATTTAGGCCTTTTTTTTTTTTATCTAGTCCATCAAGGTATTTTCTTGCACAAAATAAGATGGTTTTTGAACCTCTCTATTGAGTATCGAGTATTTTACCTAAACAGCAAGGCAAGTAGCCCATGAAATTCCATACCGTTAATAAAAAGCTTAAAAAATATATTATCTCCTAAAACATTAATTTCCATTGGTCCATTTTCCGGAGTATCCATCTAAACCAGCTACAACTTATTTAATGTATGAAAAAAATATTAAAATTTGTTTAAAATCAAATTAGCTTTTATGTAAACGGCATAACTATTATTAAAGTTGGGTATGCACCCCCCAAAAAAGTTGGGTATGTAAGATTGTAGTAGGTCCCATGTTACTAATTTGTTTGGTTAGAAAATGATTAAAAAATCTCCAAAAACTTATATAAAGAGAAAAGTGGCGTAGCACAATTGGAGGCTATATTTAACTATTAAGAGAAAGAGAGAGATAAAATATTTAAAGTTCAGAGAGAGATTAAGATGGAACAGCAAACTATGGAGATTAAGATACAACGAGACATATCAGAGGCGACAGTGAGGAAAGAGGAAGAAGAAGAAGAGGAGCAACCGCTTAGTCCGGCGGCACGTGTGTTCCACGCACCGGAGTTTAATTGTTACGTCATAACGGTGATTGGTATTAAGAGGAAGATCGAGCCAGATGTGGTTATCGAAGGATTAAAGCAAAGTTTGATCAGGCATCCTCGTTTCTCCAGTAAATTGGTTAGTCCCACACTTTTACATATACATACGTTTAGAATATTTGTTACTTTAGTTTTGGTGAATATTAACTTTTATTAATGGCTATATAGGGGTATATATATGTTTATGTATATATAATTTTTGTATATTGAAAAACAAAAGAGAAATTTGAACTCTTTTTGATGGATATAAGCTTTTTTCAACATTTTAAACATTGACTTTTCTCCTAGTATTGCGTGATCGTCGAGTATCTGGATAGTGTTGCTTGACCAATAATCTTTTGTAGGGCGGTTGGTTTTTTTGGATTTGTATTTTTGTTTTGTTTTTTTCTCTCTACAAATGTCACACTAGAAAACTCAAACCAGAAGTTTTTGAAAGTTTAAATTATTTGAGCCAAAACAACTGTACAGACCTTTTTTATTCTCTTATATTCAAGATCCAGTTTATTCCTTTTCATGTAGCTTTGTTTCTAATATTTAACAAAAAACAATTATTGAAAAAACAATATAATTGTGCTGTATTAAAATATTTTAATTAATAAACGAAATTCTATAAATATTAAACATATATACATCTAATATCGCTGTATAGTGTTTTTAGATGTATTTGATTATGAGTTTATTAGATGTATTTGATTAGGAGTTTGTTTAAATTTTGCGTCTTAGCTGTGATGCTTTATAATGAATTTTGAGTTGAAATGGTGGTAACCTGTGAAATAAATAAAAAACCAAGACAAATTAAAACTCAGAATCGGAATTTTTTTTAATTGCAAGTGAAATCCAAAGACCAATAATATTTGGTCAAGGAAATATATATATATATATATATATATTTATAAGATTGCATTCCAAAATGGGAGAATATGGCTCATACAGAGTATGTGATCATATTCTATCCACATATTATTACTAAAAAAAATATTAAAACTACTACTTTTCATCTAAAAACTACTATATTTGTTTATTAGTTTTGAGATTTGAACGATAATTTTGACAGGTATTTAAATAACTATATACTTCTTGGTCAAGGTGAACAAAAGGAACAAGAATAAACAAACTCAGAGTTGGGTTCGGACAAACGTGGTTATTGACGATCACGTCATCGTACCGGACATCCAAACGCAAAACATAGAGAACGCAAACGCAGAGGCGTTTCTTGAGAGCTACGTCTCCGACCTCACGTTGGTCCCTTTAGACATCTCAAAGCCACTATGGGAGCTTCACCTACTCGATTTGAAAACCACCGATGCTGAAAACGTTGCCGTTTTAAAATTTCATCACTCTTTGGGAGATGGTATGTCTCTAATGGCTCTGGTACTCGCTTGTATGCGTAAAACATCGAACCCCGAAGAGCTACCGACTCTACCGTACCAAAACCGGTCGTCGTCTAGATCTTCCCGGTTAACGGCCGGTTCAAGGGGTGATTTCCGGTGCGTGTGGTTATTTAGGGTTCTATGGTCGGCGATTATGATGGTTTTGAATACGGTTGGTGATGCTTTGGAGTTTACTGCTACGGCAATGTTCCTCAAGGACACTGAAACACCGATCAAAGGTGATTTCCGGTTAAGTAAGCGTAAACGGATGTGTTTGGTTTATCGTACCGTAAGCTTAGACGACATAAAGCTAATCAAGAATACCATGAAGATGGTAAGATTCCCCTTGAGAGTATTTTATAGGTCTGTGGATTCCAAACAATATATTTGTGATTATTATCGACGGTTGGTTTAAGTTTTGATATATTATTTCTTTATTTTTGGCTTACTAGACGGTCAACGATGTAGTACTTGGAGTAACTCAGGCCTGTCTGTCGCAGTACTTGGAGAGAATATATGGTAAAAACACACAAATACATGTTAGAATATTGCATATTATGAACGATTGGATTTACATAATCGTATGATAAACTATAGGGGAGAAGAAGAAGAAGAAGATAGTAGGAGAAGATCAAGAATCTAAGAGGAATTCAAATGATTTACCTAAAAGACTAAGGCTAAGATCAGCAATACTTGTAAATTTAAGACCCACCACTGGAATCCAGGTAATTTCATATATACCTTTATCACTTTTTTTTTTGTTTTTACGACCATAATATAATAAACTTATTTTTTTAATATAAAAATTGTTTTTGGTTAGAACAGGATCTAGCTGATATGATGGCTAAAGGATCTAAGTGTAGATGGGGAAATTGGATCGGCTACATAGTCTTTCCGTTTTCTATCAGTTTACGCGATGATCCATTGGAGCATCTTCGAAGAGCCAAGAAGACCATCGACCGGAAGAAAAACTCGATGGAAGCTGCGCTAACATTTCTTGCCGGTAGATTCGTGATGAGATTGTTTGGAGTTAAGGTTAGTTTGGATAATAACTAGCACATTAATTATGTATCACCTAAAAAGCATAACCTAACGTATAACTCACAATTTATTCTTGTTCATAAATCTAATTCTAATCTTATGAATGAAAATGTGGATGTAGGTGACAGCTAATATAATAAATAGAGCAGTGTCTAACACAACGATGTCATTTTCAAACTTGATTGGTCCTATTGAAGAAGTTAGCTTCTTTGGACATCCCATCACGTACATGGCCTCAAGCGTTTATGGCCATCCCCATGTAAAGCATTTTTATTTTAGGCCATTCTGTCTTATACATTTATTGTCCTTTTTTATATATTTAATTTAGTGACTAATATTCATTGGTTTTTTTTTATTAGGCGTTGACGATGCATTTGCAGAGTTACATGAACAAAATGACGATTGCTTTGACCGTAGATCCAACGGTCATAAGTGATCCTCATCGGCTACTTGACGATTGGGAAGAATCTTTAAGAATTGTCAAAGCTGCTGTTGAGGAAAGAGGCTCCGTTCATCAGTAGATTGAGCTAAAATATTATATTATTCTTGTACAATTGAAATTGAATGGATGTGTGGGTAGGAGGGGAAACGTACAACGAGGCATAATCATGAAATTAATACAATCGTACTTTGGTGGCAGATTCTTTGATGGTTTGTGTCGTCGTTAGTATTATTATTGAAGATCACAAAGTCAAGATCGCCCACCATTGAAAAACGAGGAGACAATCAAGTTTTCTTCTATACAAAATGCTGTGACGCTAAATTTGGCATTAATAAAACATCTTTCATTGCGATTTTAGATTCCATATGACGAAAATATATCTTTCACTACAAAAATGTGTAGAAACAACAACAACAATAAATAAAAAAAGCTTTCAATTAGAACCACCGTTTTGTTGTTCTTCCACAACCACCTGGAGCAAATTCTCATAATTCTTCTGCCACTGATCATTCATCTGTAAAGACTTTTTGTATTCAAGTTTCAATCTTTCCATTTCAATCTCCGTTGCTGCAGAGCCTTGTTGCTGATAACAAGGCAAGAAAAACAAATAGACAGTTGTGAAAAACAGAGTAAGGAATAAAATAAGTGTTTTCTTTTTGTAGAAACAGAGGAAACACAAACCTGAAGTTCTCTAACTTGCTCGTTGATAAGGTCAGCACTGAGGAAAGAAGAGTAAACAGGAACATCCGAAAACGGCGGCGGATCAACAATCACTATACCATCCATTGTATCTTCTCCTGGTCTTTCATATTTATCCAAAGGCGGAGGTAATGACGACCCTTGTCTTTTCCAGGAAGATTGTGCCTTGTTGGAACTACCAACAATCGTTTTTCTGACAACTTGAATATTGTTCACAGGGCTTCCTGTAAGAAAAAAAAAAGTTTGAAAGGCAAAAGAAATAAGGTTTAACTGATAATCATTTTGCACAAGTAAAATATAAACAGTGGAAAGCATTACGAAAAAATTACCTTTTCCATGGCTGAAAGTACGAACAGGGCGACGTGATTTGGGATCCCAAACACAGATCGCACCATCTTCTGATCCAGATATCAAAAGGTTTCCGTCTGCGCAATATGCTAAGCAAGTAACAGCTTTGCTGTTTCAAACAAACATTATTGAGTCAATTAAAGTACTTATAAGTTGAGGGATGTTAATTTCTCAACACAAGTCCATTATTTGAATCCATTAAAACAGGAAACTAAGATGCAACATGTGAAGAGATCTAATTAAAAACCATCTTAATCAAGAACTAACACAAGCTAATGTTCACATATAGATATTATGATACACAAGATGCTAACAAAAGAGAAGAAGATATTATCAAAATATAAAGAACGGGAAGTACCTTTCGGATACTGAACCAAGAACTTGTGTCCCATAGTCACTTGTGGAATTAATGGCGCCGATATAGATTTTGCTATCTGTGCTACCAGCATAGAACACAGACCCACCAGGATCCAATGAAAGTGCATTGATCGCTGAAGGAAAGATGATATTTCTCAACAATTTCCCCTTTGACAGGCTCCAAACCTAAGCACTCAGAGATCCAGCCAGATTTTAATAATCGCCATTGATCAAAGATGTTCATATGGTACGCTATACAAAAACGAATCTCATTAACAGTATAAGTCTGCCTACATTCTCATTAACAAAATGCATATTAGATAAGCGGTCCAAGCAAGTACCTTGCAGGTCCGATCTTCAGAAGCAGAAACTATCAGTGCATTGCAGCCTCCATAGTCTATGACAATGTCAGTGACAGGCATTGTGTGCTCACTAAAATTGTGTTCATAGAGAGTGCCTCCTTGCTGCCTCTGAAAATCATCAAATAGCCTAACTAGCCAACAAGAGCAAAGGAATAAGAATAAAGACAGTGCCTTGCCAAACAAAATCTCGAAACCTTGCTGGAGAATTACAAAATGTTTAACCTTATAAGAGACCAGACTCTAACGGATCCATCTTGAGATCCTGAAACCAACAAGGAGTCGTCTCCAGAGAACACCAAGCATGTTACAGAACGGTAGTGACCGTGCCACTTCTTCAGAAGCTTCCCAGTCTCAACCTAATTTCCATCAATAGAACAAGTTTAGACCCGTGAAACCCAAATACGCTTAATCACCAGAAGTGAAATCAAAATGTAAACTTGTTACCTCCCAAAGATATATATCTCCAGAGGTTCCACCACCAACTATGTAAGATCCTTCACTGTTTGCTGCAAGAGCTTTTATTGATTCCACTGGGAAGCTCCTCACTTCAACTTGAGGCTACAATTAAAAAAAAAAAAAAAACATCTTTTAATCCCCAAAACAAAAAAAAAGTCTTTTTAGACTCAAACAAAAGTGGGTGAAGTCAGATAATGAGAGTGAAGAACCTTATTCCAAGACCAGAAGAAAATCGAGCCAGAGGAAGCGGATCCGTTACGGAGCTGAGAGGCGGCGAGGAACTTTTCTCCGACGGCGGTGAGACCGTGCGCGGGAGATGCACACGGCTTGAACCGAAGCTGCTCTGTCCCGGTTTCGAGATCCCAACTTCCGATTCCGCCATCGATTGAGGACGAAGCAATAATAGAAATCTCCATAGCTGATTTCTCTATCTCTTGAGAGAAAAGAGGGAAGAAGAAACTGTTTTCCGAGTGTCTGGGATTTATGATATAAATTAGGGTTTATGAAATATGAGTTCGATTTTTGAAAACTAATAGTTTTGCGGAGTATTCAAAGTTTTATTAAAAGTAAGGGGTTAAAATGTAAATTTAAGATAATTAACATTTTATTGATATCGGTAACGGAATCGTTAGATGGGAGAACGATGGCGATGATAAGCTTTTCGCTTCCATCATCTCCCGCCAAACTCCCGGTTTCATCTCCACCGTCCGTTCCGAATCGGGTCAACGTCGCCGACCGTCTGATCCTCCGCCATCTCAATGCCGGCGATCTCCGTGGAGCGATCTCCGCTCTCGATCTCATGGCTCGTGATGGGATCCGCCCCACCGACTCGGTCACTTTCTCCTCCCTCCTCAAGTCGTGTATCCGAGCACGCGATTTTCGACTCGGGAAACTCGTTCACTCCCGATTAGTCGAGTTTGAGATCGAGCCCGACTCGGTTCTCTACAACTCACTCATCAGCTTGTATTCGAAATCCGGAGATTTGGCGCGAGCCGAGGATGTGTTCGAGACCATGGGAAGATTTGGTAAGCGAGATGTCGTTTCGTGGAGTGCTATGATGGCTTGTTTCGCTAACAACGGAAAGGAGCTCGATGCGATCGAACTGTTCGTTGGGTTTCTGGAGCTGGGTTTGGTGCCAAACGATTACTGTTACACGGCGGTGATACGAGCTTGCTCGAATTCGGAATACGTCTCTGTTGGGAGAGTGGTTTTAGGGTTTTTGATGAAGACTGGGCATTTCGAGTCGGATGTATGTGTGGGTTGCTCTTTGATCGACATGTTTGTGAAAGGGGAGAACAATCTTGAGAATGCGTATAAAGTGTTCGATCAAATGTCTGAACTAAATGTCGTTACTTGGACATTGATGATCACTCGGTGTATGCAAATGGGGTTTCCTAGGGAAGCAATCAGGTTCTTCTTGGAGATGGTTTCAAGCGGGTTTGAGTCAGATAAGTTCACACTAAGCTCTGTTTTCTCTGCGTGTGCCGAGTTGGAGAATCTGTCATTGGGAAAGCAGTTGCATTCTTGGGCCATTAGGTCGGGACTCGCGGAGGATGTCGGGTGTAGTTTAGTCGACATGTATGCGAAATGCTCTGTGGATGGTTCTGTAGATGATTGCAGGAAGGTTTTCGATAGAATGCAGGATCATAGTGTTATGTTGTGGACGGCGTTGATCACAGGTTATATGCAGAGCTGTAATCTCGATACAGAGGCTATTAAGCTCTTCTGCGAAATGATAACTCGAGGCCGCGTCGAGCCGAATCATTTCACTTTCTCGAGCGCATTCAAGGCTTGCGGGGGTCTTTCGGATCCACGGGTAGGTAAACAGGTTCTTGGTCATGCCTTCAAGAGAGGTCTTGCTTCGAATAACTGTGTTGCAAACTCGGTTATCAGCATGTTTGTTAAATCTGACATGATGGAAGATGCTCGGAGAGCTTTCGAATCGCTTTCTGAGAAGAACTTGGTCTCGTATAACACCTTTCTTGACGGAACCTGCAGGAACTTGGATTTTGAGGAAGCTTTTGAGCTTTTCAGTGAGATCACTGAGAGGGGATTAGGTGTTAGCGGTTTCACATTTGCTAGCTTGTTGAGTGGAGTTGCGAGTATTGGTTCAATAAGAAAAGGCGAGCAGATCCATTCGCAGGTGCTTAAACTCGGGCTCTCGCGCAATCAACCGGTGTGCAACGCGTTGATCTCTATGTATTCCAAATGTGGAAGCATTGACGCAGCTTCCCGAGTCTTCAGTCTAATGGAAGATCGTAATGTCATCTCATGGACTTCAATGATCACAGGCTTCGCAAAACACGGATCCGCTAAAAGAGTACTCGAAACGTTCAACCAAATGACAGAGGAAGGTGTGAAGCCAAACGAGGTCACTTACGTTGCAATCTTATCGGCGTGCAGCCATGTTGGTTTGGTCTCTGAAGGATGGAGACATTTCAGATCAATGTATGAAGACCACAAGATCAAACCTAGAATGGAGCATTATGCTTGTATGGTTGATCTTCTATGTCGATCAGGGCTTCTCACAGACGCGTTTGAGTTCATTAGCACAATGCCCTTCCAAGCCGATGTTCTAGTGTGGCGTACGTTTCTTGGAGCTTGCAGAGTTCACAGTAACACAGAGCTTGGAGAAATGGCTGCGAGGAAGATCCTAGAACTTGACCCGAATGAGCCAGCGGCTTATATACAGCTCTCAAACATATACGCTAGTGCAGGGAAATGGGAAGAATCTGCAGAGATGAGGAAGAAGATGAAAGAAAGAAACTTGGTTAAAGAAGGAGGTTGCAGCTGGATAGAAGTTGATGATAAGGTTCATAAGTTCTACGTAGGGGATACATCTCACCCGAACGCTCGTCGAATATACAATGAATTGGACCGATTGATTAGAGAAATAAAACGTTGTGGATATGTTCCTGATACGGATCTTGTACTTCACAAGCTAGAGGACGAGGGTGATGAGGCAGAGAAAGAGAGGTTATTGTATCAGCACAGTGAAAAAATCGCGGTTGCGTTTGGACTTATAAGCACAGTGAAATCAAGACCGGTAAGAGTGTTCAAGAACTTAAGGGTCTGCGGAGATTGCCATAACGCGATGAAGTATATAACGAAAGTCTCTGGTAGAGAGATTGTATTGAGAGATTTGAATCGTTTTCATCATTTTAAAGATGGGAGATGTTCTTGTAATGACTATTGGTGACTTTGAGATATACATGTGAGTCAATGTTTATGTCTATCTTGAAAACAATCAAAATTCCAAATTTTAGATATTGCAATAGACTAATCACAGCATCTTTAACCCCTCATGACCATTGAAAAAGAGAATTATCTAAAATTGATTTGGTTAAAATAAAAGACAAAGAGGGTTATCTTTAGGAATGAATAACTTTTGCTTATTTGGTAAATCAACACACAATCACAAATCTATAAATTTCATAAGCTTGAGTGTCTAATTCCCAAATTCTCTAAGGTTATTAATTGTTCTTGATTCACTTTTTTTTTTTTTTTTCAAACAGTGATCCGTTGATATTTGTCTAATTTCTGTATCTTATGTATACATTTTCTTACAGATGAAAATGATTCAGACAAGTTTGTGTATACTAGTGGTATTATTAACAGTATCCGGTTTTCCGATGATGGAATCCGGCGTTGAAAGCAAGAAAGGTATCGACTATTTGGCGATAAATTGCCGAAAACACAATGCGGTTTTGACGGATTTTGGAGCTATCGGTGATGGAAAAACCTCTAACACGAAAGCCTTTAGAGAAGCCATTACCAAGCTTACTCCGTTGGCGGCTGACGGTGGAGTACAACTCATTGTTCCGCCGGGGAATTGGCTCACCGGAAGTTTCAACCTCACCAGCCATTTTACTTTGTTTATCCAACAAGGTGCAACTATTCTTGCTTCTCAGGTAATTTATCTACGTACCTTCAAAATCTTATCATATATAAGAATATGTTAAAAGAAAAAAAAAACAATAAAAATTTGATTGAGATAAATTATTGGTGTAAGATAATCATAATTTGATTTATTTATTTATTTTGGGTTTAAACAAACAGGACGAATCTGAATATCCTATGATTCCGCGTTTGCCGTCATATGGAGATGCAAGGTTTGCTAGTTTAATCTACGGAAGTAACCTAACAGATGTTGTTATCACCGGTAAGCACACACAAAGATTCGTTAATTAATCCATCAAATAAGGATACAAGATCAAAATGTAGATTAGTTTATAAAATCGAATGTTAACTTTTATCAGGTAACAAAGGGACGATCAATGGACAAGGCAAGACATGGTGGGTGAAGTATCGAAGTGGTGGTTTCAAGACGATATCGAGACCCTTGTTGATCGAAATCATCTTCTCCGAAAACATTCAGATCTCCGATATCAATCTGATCGATTCTCCGATGTGGAATATTCATCCTGTGTATTGCAAGAACGTCATCATTAGAAATATAAAAATCGATGCTCCTATCGATTCTCCTAACACCGATGGAATCAATCCAGGTATATATACAGTACTAATTAATTTCTATATGACATATTTTTGTATGATTATCGAGAGAAAACGTTAAAATCAAGAAAATAGCAAGTTTTTAAAATGGTTTAAACACTCATGCATGTTCTTCATTTGGTTAGTACATTAATTCTTAGACGATGTAACGATTTTGTATGATTATCTAATAACGTTCATACATTTTTCTTGATTTGGTTGTACGTAGATTCTTGCACGAACACGATAATAGAGGACTGCTCCGTAACTTCCGGAGACGATTGCATCGCGGTCAAAAGCGGTATAGACCAGTTCGGAATCGCCACCGCGATCCCAACGCAACAGCTCTCAATACGACGTCTCACTTGCGTTTCTCCCGACAGCGCAGGAATAGCCATAGGAAGCGAGATGTCGGGAGGAATCAAAGACGTTAGAATCGAAGACGTTACCTTAATCAACACGCAATCCGCGATCCGAATCAAAACCGCGATTGGACGTGGAGGTTACGTCAAAGACATTTTCGCTCGTAGGTTTACGATGAAGACTATGAAATACGTTTTCTGGATGACCGGTTCGTATAAACTGCATCCGATAGGCTTCGATCCCAAGGCGTTGCCGGAGATTAGCAATATCAATTACCGTGACATGACGGCGGAGAACGTTACGATCTCGGCGAAGCTCGAAGGGATCAAGAACGATCCTTTCAAAGGGATTTGTTTGTCGAATGTGACTATAGCTTTGTCGCCGACCACGAAGAAGCTGCAGTGGAACTGCACGGATGTCGCCGGAGTTACGAGCAGGGTTAAGCCGGAACCGTGCGGTTTGTTGCCGGATAAGGGAACTACGATGGACTGTGATTTTCCGACGGATAAGATTCCGATTGAGAGTGTTGTGTTGAACAAATGTTTTGCTTAGAAGTCTGTCATAGGTTCCGTTAGTCGCGTAACAAAAATGATCTACTAATGGAATAACGCGATTCCAAATGCAAGCAGAAACCAAAGCTATAGTCAAAAGGTACTGTTTTGTAGTGTCTACTCAAATCGCCCAAGGTTTTTTAATTTACGTTGTAAATCAAACCATTTTGGCCACATATTATCAATACTGTTTTCTACTATATATATTATCAAGTCTATTTTGGTGGTTTGGAAAACATTTAGGATTAAGGACTATGTAAACTTAAAAAAAACATAGAGGATTTCTACCACAAATATCAAGTAAGTATATTAGTTTTAAGGAAGTAATAAGATTCAAAATTATCTTTAACAATATTGAATTTATATACACTAAATTATGTAGTATCATGGGCATTTTAGAATTTCAGTTGATAGCTGATAAAAAATGTGTGAAAGGAGAATATAACAGAAATTTTACGTTAATTTGCAAGTCTTTTGTAATGGTAACTAGATATATTCGACTTCTTTATCGAAATTATTTTAATTTCCTATATTATATAACGATTGTTTGTATTAGTTGTGTTTTTTTTTTAAATTCTTGATAATAATATATTTGATTTACCGTAAAAACAATATTTAGAGTACTAAAAAAAAAAAAAAATATTTAGAGTACTATAGTCTGATTTTTACGTTTTAAAAAATGATTCCGTTACATATATAAGAAAATCAAAGTGTTATTAATTTACTAAATTTTTGTGGAAACTTTATCAAATCAAGTTTTTCTTTTTTTTTGCGATTCGACGATAGTCGAATGTGTCAAACGTAAACAAAAATGTCATTAGCCAATGTGGAGGATTATTAACCAGCAATCTTTTCTTCGAGGAATTGGTTTGGTTTAACCGAATGGATCCTCCTCGGTTCTGTAACTGATTACTCAAAACGACGTCGTTGTAGATGGACCTTTCAGCCTCCTTGTTAGATTCCAAAAGAAGATGATGTCTCGTAAGAATCTGGCACGCGCTCGCCACACTCCCCTTTTATCCTTAGCCACACTTTCTCCTTGAAAATTCGACAATTCTTCTTCTTCTTCGTTTTCTGAGTTGAGAAATCTGAGTTGTCTTCTTCTTCTCCTTCTCCACAAGACGAGCGAAGAGATTATCTGAATTGATCGCTTCTCCATAACAAAAGGTATTTCTCATGCTCATCTCTCGTTTCCTTTTTTTTTTCTCCAGAAAATTATTCCGAAATAAATTTCGTTACGTCTGAACGAAAAACCGTTCCGGTGGATTTTAGGTTTGTTATTTCCTTGGAGAAACATTCTCAGAGTTCTTCGCAATGTCCTGTGATTATGATTAAACATACCTCCCATGACTGTTTTCATTTAATTAATTATCTCGTAAGCTTTGATTTTGGATTTTTAACAAACTCGAACTTTGTTAGCTTTTCATTTTTCTTTCACTGCATTGGTTCAAAAAACGATTTAATAATCCAAAGTGCGGTATTCCCTATTGCATATTCTCTCTCGTTGTTTTGGTTTTTTTAATTGAGTCTTTTGGATTGTAAGATTGTAAGAAACCCTAAACAAAAGGTATTTGCCTGATTCGATTTTTTAGCTTTTTTTATTCCACCCTAATCTTGAGATTTGATCAATCTTGTTATATGTTCACTGAACAGATATGAGTTCTGCTGCTTCAGTCACAAATCTCTGGACAACAACACACAACAATGTAACAACCGGTCTTACTTGTTTTTTGGTCTCTCTACTATTCACTATTGATATTTTCGTTATATTACTTGAGCTAATATCTCTGTTTGCTATTGTTATTTTCAGGTGATTCAACTAGTCGATATGGTAGCCATTGAATCAAATCACATGTTAAGTGGGAATAAGACTCTTTGCTTCACCGGAAGGCATCACATGAGCATCAAGCCTAAAACGACTTCTCCATTATCACTTACTCAGATGAAGATCAATGTTCCAAGAACCTTAGCTTTCTCCTCAGCGAACAAGAAAGGCAGAGCTGAAGTGGACGCTCTTACTGGTGATAAGACATTTACAGAATATACATGGAGTTTCCACTTTCCAGAGTCTAATGTCGATTTCTCTCATCTCGACTCTAAAGCAAACCTCTCTGGAGGAGGAGGAGGAGATCACCAAAATGTGGCTAGCGTTCTTGAAAAACTGAGTGCTCTTCGCTCACATCTATTAGCAGCAGAGAAGTGGAATGCTTCTCGACTTCAGCTATGTGACAGGTCCGTTTGAGATTTACAAATCTCACCGTTTTATTACATAGAGAAAGATCAAATCTTTGGCTTTGCTAAATCATTCGTAATACTGTCTGTTGATTGCAGCAAATATCTGGAATGTGCGACAAACTTAATTCATTATATGGCTTTGAGGTCACTGGACATTGAGCAGCTCAACAGCTATCTTGCTTCGCTTGGTCTGTCGAGTCTAGACAACAACAATCTTGCTGTCCTCTCCAGCCTTGACGCCACCATTAATCTGTTGATGAACTCTCCCTATAGCCAACGGAATGATTCGAATAATGCATATCCCAAGAAGCACAAGGAGGGTAAGAGTACTAAGAAGAATGATAAAGGAAGAGTATTTTCATATAAAGAGTTGTTACTTGGGAAACTTGGTGAAGGAAGAAGTACTCATATCATGGTGACTGTTGGTAAAGAAGCAACTGAGAGCGAAACCTTTATAAACGATATCCTTAAAGCTGGCGCTTCTGTTATTCGTATAAACTGCGCTCATGGAGACCCGAGCATTTGGGGTGAGATCATCAAAAGAGTAAGAAGAGCCTCTCAGATGCTAGAGATGCCATGCCGCGTTCTCATGGATCTAGCAGGACCAAAGCTGAGAACCGGCACACTGAAACCTGGTCCATGCGTGATGAAAGTCTCACCGAAGAAAGATGCTTACGGAAACGTGGTTTCTCCAGCTGTGGTATGGCTCTCCCTCACTGGAACAGAACCTCCTGCTCACCTTTCCCCTGACGCAACTGTATATGTGCAAGACCAGGAGTTTCTTGCTGGTCTCCAGATTGGTGATTCCGTAAGACTATGTGACGCTAGAGGGAAAAAGAAGACGCTTAGGATCTCAAAAGAGTTTGACGTTTTCTCCAGTACTGGTTTTGTGGCTGAGTGTTTCGATACTGCTTATATAGAGTCTGGAACTAAGTTATGCGTTAAGGGAAAGAAAGGGAGGCGCTTGGTTGGAGTAGTAGTGGATGTTCCTCCCAAGGAATCTTTCGTGAGGCTCAAAGTTGGAGATTTATTAGTCATAACCCGAGAAGGATCGTTTGATGAACCTTGTGTAACTGTTCCAGGGGCTCACAGGCTAACTTGTCCTTCCGGTTACTTGTTCGATTCTGTCAAGCCTGGCGAAACCATTGGTTTCGATGATGGCAAAACCTGGGGAGTAATCAAAGGAAGTAGCCCTTCAGAGGTGATTGTCTCCATCACTCATGCTGGTCCAAAAGGTACAAAGCTAGGATCAGAGAAGTCCATAAACATTCCCCAGAGCGACATCCGTTTCAAAGGCCTCACTTCGAAAGATATCAAAGATCTTGAATTTGTAGCTTCACATGCTGACATTGTTGGCATTTCATTCATTAGAGATGTCCATGATATATCCGTTCTGCGACAAGAGCTCAAGAAAAGGAAACTGCATGAGCTTGGTATCGTTCTCAAGATTGAAACGGAAAGTGGGTTTGAGAATTTATCTTTGATTCTATTAGAGGCGATGAAGTGTTCGAATCCTTTAGGGGTTATGATAGCTAGAGGCGATCTTGCAGTTGAATGTGGATGGGAGAGATTGGCTAGTATACAGGAGGAGATTGTAGCTATTTGCAAAGTTGCTCGTGTACCGGTGGTTTTGGCAACTCAGGTTCTTGAATCACTTGTCAAATCCGGTGTTCCATCTCGAGCTGAGATCACAGATGCTGCAAATGGCAAAAGGTCAAAAAAACTTTGAACACGATCTTGCTTAAAACTTAAGAGTTTCTTTGTCTAATTTTGGAATGTTGATTATTTGCAGGGTGAGCTGTGTGATGTTGAACAAAGGCAAGCATATCGTTGAAGCTGTTTCGATGTTGGATACTATACTTCACACCAAGCTTGTCTATAAGAAACCGCACTCTGAAAATCTACATTGCTCTGCTTCTCACTAGAAAGAGAAGTTGTGTAGTCCATGAACTGGTTGCGTCCGGTTAAGTCCTGGTTTGGTATTAGGTCTTCTAGAGATGTGGCGGTTTCAAACCAGCATTTAGACCGGTTCACAAAGCCTAGTACGATGACTAACATATGCATCTTGATCATGTTCCGTACCTCAGATCTTAGCTGGTTTAGTTAATTGTTTAAAAGTTTCTGTACTTTGTAAGTGTGAAGCCAATATTTAGTGGAAACCTAGTACATGAATTTAGAATGTAGAGGATAATTGCTTTGCGCAAGAAAGAAGATTTTTGATTTCATCTCTTACGATAGTTACAACTTACACGTAACTCAGTGGAGTTATCTACATGAATAATATTAAATTGTAGCATATTTAGAGTTTGGCAGATACTGAGAGAGAATGGAGCTGCTAAAGTATCTAATCGTTGTTGTAACCTTTGATTATATAAATAGGAATGAATCATAGAAATGTACATCTGAGAGAAGAAGAAAATCTTAGAACATGCATGAAAACTAACAAAAGCAACCCTTATGAGTCTCTTTTATGTGTATATACACACACACACACTCTTGCTGTGACTATGGGACCGGGACCAGACTTGGAGCATAAACATAGCAACGGTTAGAAAGACCATCAGTAAAATGCTAATCTCATAAATGTTGACGTATCTCCCCTTGGCATCTTCTTCCTCGCACCACAACATGATATTATTGGTCTTGTTGTGGATAAAGTATGTCAGCAAAGTGCGTTGGAATTTGGACTCTAATACAGGGAGACCAGGGCGAGTCACGTTAAAACACTTGCTCCACGAGACAACCTCATCGGTCACCTTGTTTGTAACCCACACCTCAATGCCACCATGTTTACGAAGCTGATGTAATAAAGAAAGCCTATCTCCTTTGAAACCTGAGAATAAGACTGCGTGATCATTATTAATCACATGAAACCGACCGGTTGCAATGGGGACGTTGCAGCATATGGGCTTGAACGTCTCTGTGGAAAAATCAAAACTTTGGATGAAGATTCCTGCCTCGGTGTTCATCCTATAAGCAACCCAGTACATGTTTCCATTCATAGGCACGTTTTGGTGAATTGGATGAAGATTCCAATAGAAATCTAAATTAGAAACAACACTTGTCCAGTGCTTAGATTTAAGATCATAAATCTCAACCTCCGGTTTTTTGCCTTGATTCTTATAATTATAATAATCGCCATAATACCTCAAGACCTTGTAGTTTCCACGGGATGCATTACCGTATCCGAATCCGCAGACCTGATCTATGTTGTAACTGCGAGAAGGCGAGGGTTTGATCCAAGTGACTCCACTCAAACATGGATTCCAAACCGCAAGCTTCGAGTTACTACACTTGCAGAGCAATAATCCATCGCAGGCGGAAGAAATCAGAGGTGTACAGCCGAAATCATATGGTTCGGTTATGAGTCTACTTAAGAGAGTTTTGGTCACCAGAGTGAAGATATGGACCCGTCCATGATCCAATCGTATGAATCCTTCCTGTTCCTGGGAGAGTTCCAAGTGTTTGTAGATGAATCTCTCGTCGTTTAAAAGAGCATACCATATATCACCGGAATCTTGTAAAGTATCTCTTCTACCAACTCGAAAGGTAGCAGCAGCGACGGCGAAGCCATGGAGTAAGAAAATAATAATCAGAAAACTAGGTCACACAACAATAGAAAACAATACAATAAAAAAACCTATTCCTTTTCTTGTACCCTACTTGGTTTACGCATTTGGATCTTTAGTATAACTAGAAGAGTATCAGCTCATACAAGCAGGTTTTTAGTTTTGTAAAAAATTGATGTTAAACTGATTTTATATTTTATATATTATATATTATATTTTTATTAATTAAAAAATTGATTTATAATTCTAATTTATACAGCTGCATTATAAATAAATTTATTAGGATTTTGATATCTTAATAATTTAAAATTTATTAATGGATCAAGTTCGAATAAAATAAATTATCAAATAATTATTAGTTTATAAAGAAATTGTTTAAAAGTTTATTAAAATATTGTATACATTTTTCTTCTAATTTTTTGAAGTTCAAAATATCAAATAATTGTTATTTTATATTTGTATAATTGTTTTTATAATAATAACTTACGATATTAGTAAGAAATAAGAAAACACTCTTAAATAAGAAACATACATTGTTTTAATGATTTTAAAAATTACCATAGCGATGAGTATCCGTGCGATGTGCAGATTTTTTTCACAATATAATTTATTAAAAAGTGTAGTTATAATTTATTTTATCGTATATTTAAATTTTTTTAAAGGATATTGTGTATTTGAATAAATATAAAATACATATTTATATATTATATAAATATTAACTATATATGTGATCAATGATTTATTGATAAGAAAATATAAAATATATTATACCTTGTATATATAAAATATATTAAATAGATATAGTGAAAATCAGAGAAGTACTATAGAGAAACTCTAGCTTCAAGCACAACATAGATAGATATGACTCTTTTTAACATGTCGTACTTGTTCACGACGTAGATTTACACAATAGTAATGCCGTGGTTTTATATTTTTATGAGCTTAAATAATTGATTTATAATTTTAATATATACAGCTGCATTAAATATTTTATAAATATATATATTAAGACTTTGATATCTTATTAATTTTAAAATTATTGATGGATCAAGTTTGAATAAAATAAATTATCAAATAATTTTTAGTTTATAAAGAAATTATTGTAAAGTTTATTATAATATTGTATAAATTTTTCTTCTAACTTTTTAATGTTCAAAATATCAAATAATTGTTATTTTTATATTTGTATAATTTTTTATAATAATATCTTATAATATTAATTAAAAATAAGAAAACATTTTTAAATATAAAACATAAATTTTGTTAATAATTTTTAAAAACTACCACAAAATAGATATTCAATAATTATTTTTGGATATTAAGTATATATTGTTGTTAAAAATATATTATCTAATTCTTTATATTTTTTATATTGTTTTAGTATTATAATTAATAATACATTAAATTTATGCATTAACTGTATTTTACATAATTTGTATCATTAAATTTTTAAAAATGACACATGTCATTTCTATAATAAACCAAAATAATGAGGTGACATTTATATAGAGAGAGTTCACCATCTTTTATAGTATAAAAGTGGGCTTTATTCTTCAACCTGAATTTATTTCCCATTGTGTGTTTACAAACGTCTCTGAACCAAGCCAATTAAAAAGAACCAAGCCCACTCTTTTCAACATAAAAAAAAAAACTCGAAGCCTTTTTTATTTTACTCCGAGGACAGAGACACCGTAGGAACTGCATTTGCATTCAAATGGTGCTTCCGCACGAGAGCGCACCAGACAAGGACTGCACACGCAGAGGCAGAGAGAAAGAGACAACAATTTTAGAAACCACCAAATCTGGTCTAATATGTAACACATTTTTTTAAAAAAGATTTCAAAAACAGGTTTGATAAACCCATTGAGAGAGAGAGAGAGAGACTTACAGTACAAAGACGCAGTGGAGAAGAACATGCAACTCTTGAAATACCAATGTGAATCATCAAATGTGATCTGACATATCAAGCAATCATACTCCATTTAAATGGTGAAACATCATATGACGTCACCTTCGACAAAACCATTCCCAAAACGACCACGGGAATGGCAGACCACGTGGACCGGGACCAGACTTGGAGCAAGCATATCGTTGAAGCTGTTTCGATGTTGGATACTATCCTTCACAGCAAGCTTGACTATAAGAAACAGCACTCTGAAAATCTACATTGCTCTGCTTCTCACTAGAAAGAGAAAGTTGTGTAGTCCATGAACTGGGTGCGTCCAGTTAAATCCTGGTTTGGTATTAGGTCTTCTAGAGATGTGGCGGTTTCAAACCAGCATTTAGACCGGTTCACAAAGCCCAGTACGATGACTAACATATGCATCTTGATCATGTTCCGTACAATTCATGTAGAGGATAATTGCTTTGCGCAAGAAAGAAGATTTTTGATTTCATCTCTTAGTTACAACTTACACGCAACTCAGTGGAGTTATCTACATGAATAATATTAAATTATAGCATATTTAGAGTTTGTGAGACACTGAGCGAGAATGGAATGCTAAAGTATCTAATCGTTGTTGTAACCTTTGATTATATAAATAGGATTAAATCATAGAAATGTACATCTGAGAGAAGAAGAAAATCTTAGAACATGCATGAAAACTAACAAAAGCAACCCTTTAATGTGTATACACACACACTCTTGCTGTTACTATGGGACCGGGACCAGACTTGGAACATAAACATAGCAAGGGCTACAAAGATCAAAAATCCGTCTATGTCACCCTGTCTCAACTAGTTTTCTGATCTCACCCTCGCCAATCTCGTAAATGTTGACGTATCTCTCCTTGGCATCGTCTTCCTCGCAGCACAACATGATATTATTGGTCTTGTTGTGGATAAAGTATGTCAGTAAAGTGCGATGATGGTATCTGAATTCTAATTCAGGGAGACCAGGGCGAGTCACGTTAAAATACTTGCTCCACGAGACAACCTCATCGGTCACCTTGTTTGTAACCCAAACCTCAATGCCACCATCATGTCTATGAAGTTGATTTAATAAAGAAAGCCTATCTCCTTTGAAACCTGACAAGACTACTTGAACATGAAATGGCCCATTAAACAATTCGTTTGCAATGGGGACGTTGCAGCATATGGGCTTGAACGTCTCTGTGGAAATATCAAAACTTTGGATGAAGATTTCTGTCTTGGTGTTGGTCGCAATCCAGTACATGTTTCCATTCATAGGCAGTCGTTGTGACATGGATGAAAAAACCAATCGAAATCGAAACTAGAACAAGCACTTGTCCAGAGCTTAGACCTTAGATCATATATCTCAATCTCTGGTTTATTGCCTTGATTCTTATAATCGTCATAATACCTCAAGACCTTGTAGTTTCCACGGAATGCATTACCGTATCCGAATCCGTAGACCTGACCTGTGTTGTAACTGCGAGAAGGCGAGGGTTTGATCCAAGTGACTCCACTCAAACATGGATTCCAAACCGCAAGCTTCGAGTTACTACACTTGCAGAGCAATAATCCATCGCAGGCGGAAGAAATCAGAGGTATACAGCCGAAATCATATGGTTCGGTTATGAGTCTACTTAAGAGAGTTTTGGTCACCGGACTGAAGATATGGACCTGTCCATGATCCAATCGTATGAATCATTCCTGTTCCTGGGAGAGTTCCAAGTGTTCGTAGATGAATCTCTTGTCGTTTTAAAGAGCATACCATTGTTTGCATATCGATTTGAATCGTGCCAAATATATCACCGGAATCTTGTAAAGTATCTTTTCTACCAGCTCGAAAGGTAGTAGCAACGACGGCGAAGCCATGGAGTAAAAATATAATAATCAGAAAACTAGGTCACACACCAATAGAAAACAATACAAAAAGAACCCTATTCCTTTTCTTGTACGCTACTTGGTTTACGCATTTGGATCTTAGTAGTATAAAGTGGGCTTTATTCTTCAACCTTAATTTATTTCCCATTGTGTGTTTACAAACGTCTCTGAACCACACCAATTAAAAAGAACCAAGCCCACTCTTTTCAACATAAAAAAAAAAACTCGAAGCCTTGTTTTTTTTTACTCCGAGGACAGAGACACCGTAGGAACCGCATTTGCATTCAAATGGTGCTTCCGCACGAGAGCGCACCAGAGCAGGACTGCACATGCAGAGTCAGAGAGAAGAGACAACATTTTTAGCAACCTGACAAATCTGGTCTAATATGTAACACATTTTTTTTAAAAAAGGATTTCAAAAACAGGTATGATAAACCCATTGAGAGAGTGAGACTCACAGTACAAAGACGCAAGGGAGAAGAACATGCAACTCTTGAAATACCAATTTGCCACCTGCAAAACATTATGAAGAATCATCAAATGTGATCTGAGATATCAATCAATCATACTCCATTTAAATGGTGAAACATCATATAACGTCACTTTTGACATAGCCATTCCCAAAACGACCACGGGAATGGCCAGACCACGTGCCACAATCCGGGCACCAAGCTGGTTGGGGTGCTGCTTTACCAGTGTTCTTAAGCCTACAAGTGCTGCTATTCCAAAATACTGAGATGCTCCACATCAAAATAATTTGATCAGAAGAATTTACATCTCATTTTCAGATCGAGAGAACAATGTTTACCTCCAGACCAATCAAGATATAGATTAATGTTTCAAATGGAAAGACGCTTAGCGCATATAGACTTGTATTATCAGTGAGCCAAAACGCACCGCCCGTTCTGAAGGATGCCTCTTTCTCCTGAAAATCATACTGAAAAAAATATGAAGAGCAAACACATTTCTAAAACAGATTGTGAAAGCACTGATGTAACTTACCACGCAGGGAAAGAGCCGATGCTGTACAAAAGCCCTCGCAGAAGAGAAGGCTGAAGTAGAACGACCAGAACTACACCAGAGTACATGAAACAAAACTTAAATTTGCATCATTTACTAAACAGAGTTTCAAAGCCATTTTGCAGCAGGAAGTCTATTAGACACTTACCCATTTACCAGATCGTCATATTCTGTAACGACCCGGTTCTCACAAACCAGGCTCGTTTGGAAAATTCAATCCCAACTAAGACGGTTTAAGCCCATTTTTTATTTCTCGATATTTCCCTTTTCCTTCGAGAGATAATTAATTTCTGGTTTAGATAAATATTACATTTTTAATGTGATATTAATGAACCTTTTCCTAAATAAATTGTGAATATTCTTATTCATAATTATCTTTTCTTTTTTTCGTGGTTATCTTTACTTTTTACCCAAGTCTCTCATTGGGTATAAATAGAGAGCATTTCCCATTTTTTTTCTTCATTCTAAACTTTTCAGAGAACAGAGAAACCCTAGAACTCTCTTCTCTCTCTTTCCGGTGCTGTAGTACTCTCTCTCCGCCGTCTCTCTCCTCTTTCTTTCTCTCTCATCACCGCATCCTCTCTCTCTTCACTATGTCCCGCTGTTCGTCTTCCCCGCCTTCTGGTGACCGCCCTAGCCGCTCCCCGGAACAGCCATCATCGTCCGCCGGCGCGGTGGAGCAGCCGCGAGTCCACTACCTTCGGGATGGACCCGTAGCCGCCCCTTCCAGCCGTCCTGCCCCAGTGTTTCACGTTGATGAGGAGCCGGAGTCCTCCCGGAGCCATGCGCCGCCGCAGCATCACCCTCGGAGCTCGATCAACCCGGCGTGGTTAGTCGCCGTGGAGCACCTCGCCTCCTTCTCTTCTCCTTACCTCCCCTTGCCACCTCCTTCGCCACCTAGGCCAAGGTGAGGATGAATCTGTGCTTGAATATCGTGAACTCTGCTTTTCTGAATGCATAGTTTGGGGTTAAACCAAGCATAACTTACTTTCTGCTTTAGAACTGAGTCCCAGCTAGGTCTTGCTAGGTTGTTGCTTGCTCTGTGAATCACCTAGATGTGTTTAGGGTTTTGAAACTGAAGTTGCAGGAGACTTAAAACGAACCTTTACTTGTGCTTGAAACACTTTGTTTGTTTGATTGCTGTTTGGATCTTTTCTGTGATTGTGTGATCGCCTAGAATTTGTAAAGTGGATAATGCGTTTAGCTTATGGCGCAGACGGTTATCTTGACCGGAATCGGATGTCACATATTCTCTCTCATTTCTAGCAATAACAGCTGGATCTCCACTCTGGTGAGACAAAAAGAAGAAATAAAATGAGATTTTTTTGGGATTGAGACATGGTATTATGGTAACAAAAGATAGTACATTCAAGGTAGCAAAGTTGTGGCACCTGATACTTAGTAGCCAAATGATAATACAGTCTCATGAGTATCGATAGCATATTAGCATCTGCATGATCAGAAAGCCGAACTGCAGAAAGAGATACACTAAGCAATCACACAAAAAATCACATGCAAGCTATCCACACTTTTAGGTTTATCATGCATCGCCTGATAACTATCCTCGTTTCTTAGAAGGCCGGGCCCATTTGACAAGAAAACCCAACAGACCATGCTTAGCCGGTCTGATCCGGTTTAACTAGCTTCTGCTGGTTAATCTTTATTACCGGTTTATCACACAGTTCGTCACCATTGCTGTCTAGATGATGATGGAGGAAGCTCAATTTCGAAGCTCATGAACCGCATCGATGTCGGTCTCCGTCTCCGCCATTTTCCGAAATTTATATTATCTCAAACCCGAAAAGTAGCTTCTTCTGTACCCAAACCGAAATCGTCACGACATGGGACATCTATTCATGAAAACTTGCTGGGTCAGGTACTGGACACTTACCCAGATCACAAAACCCTCAGAGCAGTCCACTCCAGAATCATTCTAGAAGATCTACGCTGCGATTCGTCTCTAGGCGTTAAACTTATGAGAGCTTATGCCTCTGTAAAAGATGTGGCGTCAGCACGCAAAGTGTTCGACGAAATTCCTGAGAGAAACGTGATCATCATTAATGTTATGATCAGAAGCTATGTGAATAACGGGTTTTACCGTGAAGGGATTCAAGTATTTAGGACGATGTGTGGCTATAATGTTAGACCCGATCATTACACTTTCCCGTGTGTTCTAAAGGCTTGTTCTTGCTCTGGGAATATTGTCATTGGGAAGAAAATCCATGGCTCCGCTACAAGAGTTGGGCTCTCTGCGACTCTGTTTGTTGGGAATGGTTTAGTTTCTATGTATGGAAAGTGTGGATCTTTGGATGAAGCAAGGCTTGTACTTGATGAGATGTCGAGGAGAGATGTGGTCTCTTGGAACTCGTTAGTTGCTGGGTATGCGCAAAACCAGAGATTCGATGATGCTTTGGAGGTTTGTAGGGAAATGGAGTCCGTGAAGATAAGCCACGACGCTGGCACGATGGCTAGTCTTTTACCAGCAGTGACCAATACAACGACGAGTAATGTTATGTATGTTAAAGACATGTTTTTGAAAATGGGGAAAAAGAGTTTGGTTTCATGGAACGTGATGATCGGTGTGTATATGAAGAACGCGATGCCTCTTGAAGCCGTTGAATTGTATTCTCGTATGGAAGCTGATGGGACCGAACCTGATGCAGTCTCAATCACAAGTGTTTTACCGGCTTGTGGAGATACATCTGCTCTGTCTCTTGGTAAGAAAATCCATGGATACATCGAGAGGAAGAAGCTGATACCGAATCTGTTGTTAGAGAACGCATTGATTGATATGTACGCGAAATGTGGATGTCTAGATAGAGCGAGAGATGTGTTTGAGAACATGAAGTCCCGTGACGTTGTTTCTTGGACAGCTATGATCTCAGCTTATGGAGTCAGCGGGAAAGGCCATGACGCAGTGGCATTGTTTTCTAAAATGCAAGACTCGGGTCTTGTCCCTGATGCAATCGCGTTTGTCACAACGCTCGCTGCTTGTAGCCACGCGGGGTTACTAGAAGAAGGTCGGAGTTTTTTCAAACTCATGACAGATCATTACAAGATTACTCCTAGGTTAGAGCATTTCGCTTGTATGGTGGATCTTCTTGGCCGAGCTGGAAAAGTGAAAGAAGCTTATGAATTCATACAGGAAATGTCAATGGAACCGAACGAGAGAGTTTGGGGAGCATTGTTAGGTGCTTGCAGGGTACACTCCGACACAGACATCGGTCTACTAGCAGCTGATAAGCTTTTCAAGTTAGCACCTGAGCAATCTGGTTACTACGTATTGCTTTCTAACATATACGCAAAGGCTGGAAAATGGGAAGAGGTTACAAAAATTAGATATCTAATGAAGAGCAAAGGGATAAAGAAGAATCCTGGAGCGAGCAACGTTGAGGTCAATGGACAGATTTATACATTCTTGGTAGGCGACAGGTCACACGAGCAATCCGATGAGATTTACAGAGAGCTGGATGTTTTAGTAAGGAAAATGAAAGAGTTAGGGTATGTTCCTGATTCGGAATCGGCGCTTCACGATGTGGAAGAAGAAGATAAGGAGACGCATTTGGCTGTTCACAGTGAGAAACTAGCCATTGTGTTTGCTCTGATGAACACAGAGGAAGGAGAAGACGACAATAACGCCATAAGGATAACGAAGAACCTTAGGATTTGTGGAGACTGTCATGTTGCAGCGAAGCTTATCTCACAGATAACTTCTCGTGAGATCATCATCAGAGACACCAATAGATTTCATGTGTTCCGGTTTGGTGTTTGCTCTTGTGGTGACTATTGGTGAAATTAATTGTTTTGAGTAACAACATTACAAGAAAAACGCTGCGTTTTGATGATAATGAAAGAACACTTTTTGGACAGCTTTATAATATCTTCTTGGGTTTCAACCAATCCGAATATTACACGTCATCACCTATAAGGAAACTCCCCAGAAGAGATAGCCTAATCTGCAAATCACTCTCCAGCTTCTGAGCTCAGAGAGAAAGAGAGAGAGCGCGCAGGTTAGAGATAGAGATAATACCTCACCGATGATTGAGTCGGTCATGGCCGTTCGTCTCTCCACTGGATTCTGCTCCTCGACGGCGCTACTCCGTAATCTCTCTATTTTTCTATGTTCATGATTTATTCTTTTCCCCATAAATTCAGCAATCAGTTCTTATGATTTTGGTAGCCGAATTTGTTTTCTTTCAATATCTTTGTAATACCTGAAAATGCTCTATTATTTATTTGTCTCGTAAATTTGCAGAGTATCGTCCTGCACCGAGCACGGAGGAGGGAGTGAGCTGCTTCCATTATGCGTCCCGCCGCGTTTTTCAGCCTCAACGTCTCAACAATACTGATGGGTACTGTAGATTCACTTTGTTTTATGGTTTTCGCCAGAGAAAGAAAAGAAGTAATTTTGTTGGGTTTCTTTCAAACTTGTACCAATTGCTCTGTTGTTGTGTGAGGTTCGGTATCATCAAGTTGTTAGGTTCTAGTTTTTGAATAGCTCATCTTTATTGTATATACGTACTTGGTACTAATGAAATATGTTTCTTGTCAACATGACTGTTAAACTTAGCTCAAAGTGGATGTTACCTTGATTATATTGACTACAAAGTTGAATACTTCCTCAGTGAACCTTGGAACCAGTCAAAGATCAATTCTTTTGATATTCTGTTGGGATATTGCTGATTGTGAATACTTAACGTTTTCTTCATCTATGTAAATTCACACATTCATTTAACCTTGTCTGGTAAACAAATGAATTGACTGATATACATTTTGCTAGGAGTGGATTTCTGAGGTACAATAGTGACTACTTGACAAGAAAACACCCGAGGAAGAATCGAACTCAAGCCACAGCCGAGTACTTAGATTCAGCTTCAGATCCAGAAAAGCAAACCGGGAAGTCAAGGTATCACCCTTCAGAAGAAATTATAGCCTCTTTGCCTCAGTTAGCTGGAGATTCAAGGCTTTCTCCTGCAGAAACTACAAGAACCATCATTGAGGTGTAATATTACGTCTTTCAATCAGCATAATCTATCTTTTTGGTTAAAGCATTGTTGCAGTCACATGTTAGCCCGTTTAGTAGTTTTGTTGCTTGCTCTTATCGCTCCTTTGTAGAATCCTCTTATATAGAGAAACGCATTTAATGTTGATAAACTATGTAGGCCTGCATCATATAGATTCGTTTTGTGCATCTAACATTTCCCGTAGTGTGTCATGTTCAGGTGAACAATAAAGGAACCCTGATGCTTACCGGTTCAATTGGTGATGGTGTTCACGAGAATATTCTCTGGCCAGATATACCTTATATAACAGATCAGAATGGAAGTAAGAGAAAATTTAATCATACTTATTTCCCAGTGATTATGTAATCTACCTAGTACCGTAGAAAAAGTTAATTGACTAACTCTAATCGTCTGCAGATTTATACTTTCAAGTGAAGGAGGATGAGGACGTCATGCAGTCTGTTACTTCTGAGAATAATTATGTGGTATGTTGCACATGACATTGATATCCTATTTACATTATATGATATGCTCATACTTTTCCTACGAAATGGTGATTTTCCAAGCTTTCACGGAGGAGAGATTTCTTCGCTTCTGTTATAGTAGCTAGTAGCTACCTTGTGACATTTCTTTTATTTTTATAGTTCTAAACCTAAACGCACAAGCATGCATCAAAATGCATTCATCTAGGCTTCTAGCTTCAACATGTTTCTATTTACCTATAAATGACTATGCTGCTCGGTGTGGTTTTGGCTGTACCTTATCCTGTATTGACCCTTAAGAACTTATGGTTGCATTGCAGCAAGTAATAGTAGGTTTTGATACGATGGAGATGATCAAGGAAATGGAGCTGATGGGTCTATCTGATAGTGACTTTGAAACTGATGACGATGAAAGTGGAGGAGAAGATGACAGTGAGGAGGATGGGGATGAAAGAGAAGACGGAGATGAGGAGGTTAAACAAAGATTATTTCACATTTTTATTAAGTCACTATGAAACTCCATGAGAGGAATCCGTTTGCCATGCCCTTAGCATGCTTCACTAGCAACCATGTTCTTGACTTCAGGAATGGGTCGCTATTCTTGAGGATGAAGATGAAGACGAAGATGACGATGAAGATGATGATGATGAGGATGACGAGGATAACGATGAATCGCTTGGCGACTGGGCAAATTTGGAAACCATGAGGAGTTGTCATCCCATGTTTTTCGCAAAGAGAATGACCGAGGTTAACTTTAATCTAAACTTCTGTGTAAACGTGCTGTGATTTAGATGAAAATGATATGCAAGTCATAACAAACTTCGTGTATTTGCCTATTTTAGGTTGCTTCTAATGATCCTGTAGATTGGATGGATCAGCCGTCTGCTGGACTCGCCATCCAGGGACTGTTGAGTCACATCTTAGTGGAGGATTACTCAGATATCCAAAAGAAACTTGCTGATAGCAAATCCACAAGTACGAACGGAAACAAGGATGCAGAAAACTTACAAGAAAAGATCGAAGACATTAATAAGGCAGATGGTGACGAATTTGAGAAAACGAGAAAAGTGGTGGCGTTTTACAAGCTGGAGATGATAAGAATTCAGCTTATTACAGCACAAGGGGATCAGGTTTTCCATAAATCTCACGGTTCCCATTTTTATCTAGACTCTGCCTTTTTGTTGCAAGCTTGTGCTTAGTAGTGTCTTTTACTCTTGGGAACAGACTGAAGTTGAAGTGGAAGATGTCAGAAAAGCACAACCTGATGCTGTCGCTCATGCATCAGCTGGAATCATAAGCCGTTTAGAAGAATCTGGTGATAAACTAGCTGAAGCCCTTAGATCTTTGTGTTGGAGACATTACAGTATTCAAGCAGAGGTAAACTAGCTGCAACTTAACTTCAGAACCCCTTAGAACTTTGTGTTGGAGACATCAATAAAATTCAGTTTGTGTATGAAGCTATGATCAGGCCGAATCTTTGTTGTTGTTGTTGTTGTTGCAGGAAGTGAAGCTGATTGGGATAGATTCCCTTGGTTTTGACCTAAGACTCTGTGCAGGAGCAAAGATTGAGTCGTTGCGGTTTGCATTCCTGACAAGGGTAAATCAGTTCTCTGCTTTGATCTCTTAAAATCCTGTTCCTGATCTGTGGTTTTCAGAATAATTGATGTTATTATATATAACATTGTCATGCCTATAAAAAACTCTTGCAGGCAACATCAGAAGACGATGCAGAGGGACAAATGAGAACACTGTTATTTCCGGCAACAAACACGCCAAATCAACAAAAACCGAAACGAACAAGTCAGAAGGAGTCATCTTGATGATGTAGTAATCTTCAATGAAGCTGCGCGGATAAAAACAGTTCCATGAACAATCAATTTGTTGGAGATCTAAGCCTTGGAGTAAGATCTTTGGCTTTGAATGAATTTTTCAAATGAATTTTGAACGCTGTAACTTTTTTTCTTAAAGCGGTTTCAAGTTTGTGGGTTACTCTGCACAAATTGAGCATTGAAGTTTCAACCCATTCTTTAGTAAGTGCATTACTTATGCCGAAATCAACTTTAACCGGACCTTTGTTCTGGTATTTCTCGAACCATGCATCTTGATATCATGGGTTATTTAAACTCCTCTCCTCGAAATATGACGAAGCACAGAAAATTTCCAGCGTAATAAATTCTAAGAGTGACAAAAATTAAACCAAAACATCCTAAAATGCAAAACCGAAAAGTTATTACTTGTGGTTTAAAGATCAACTGTGATATGCAAACAACAACATTAACCTGAATTAAGTAAAACCCTAAGACTAAGGATCATGAGCGACTCCGTGGGCGACTTTAGGGTTCAAAAGGATGGCGATCAGGATGCGGCCATGGTCGATATTGGGGAGAAAACGAAACCACCGGGAGAACCACCGGATAGAGCTGGTTCGTGGGCAAGCAAAGTGCGGGGTTCAAGTTCGGGTGGTATACCAGATCCAAACTCTTTGCTGGATGACGCCTTTGTAAGGGCTAGGTTAACAGTGGAATTTCCACAAGGTGAGGATGGTGAAGCGGAGGTCACGATTGATAGGGAGGTATTGGAAGCGATGAACGGGTTGTGGAAGAAGTGTATGATCGTTAAAGTTTTGGGAAGGAATGTCCCCATCCATGTTCTAAACCGAAAGTTGAGAGAGCTGTGGAATCCCAAAGGTTCGATGCATGTCACGGACTTGCCAAGACAATTCTATATCATCAGATTCGAACTGGAAGAAGAGTATCTAGCAGCACTAACCGGAGGACCATGGCGCGCGTTTGGGAGCTATTTGATGGTGCAAGCGTGGTCTCCTGATTTTGATCCTTTGAAGGATAATATCGTGACCACACCGGTATGGGTGAGATTGATGAATATACCGGTGAATTTCTACCATAACGCTATACTCATAGGGATTGCTCGAGGTCTTGGTAAACCCGTTCGGGTTGATCTCACAACACTGAAATTTGAAAGAGCCAGATTTGCGAGGGTTTGTGTCGAAGTGAACATTGCAAAGCCACTGAAGGGCACAATATCAATCAATGGTGATAGGTACTTTGTATCGTATGAAGGGTTAGCAGATATCTGTTCTAATTGTGGATTATATGGACACCTGGTCCACTCTTGTCCAACGATAGTTCATGAGAGGGCTGTGGTCGAAGTACAGCAAGGGAGTCCCGTAGCAGAAATGGTGGAGAAAGAAACGGTACAGAAGGACGATGGATTCACAATAGTGCGGCGATCAAGATCGAATGTAGCGACACCACCGAATCCGGCAACGATCACCGACGGGATCGCCGGAGTAAATCTGGGATGAAATCTGAGGGAGATACCGAGGGAGAAAGATCAGGAGAATATTCGTGTATCTAACAGTTTTGGAAGCCTGGATACGAAAATTAATATGGTTGAGATATCAGATAATGAGAATAAGGAAAATGCAGGAGCAATCTCTATTCAGGGCTCCGGAAAGAGTGGAGGGCAAGGAGAAACTCTTTCGCAGGAGAAGTTCTCGTTTAAAAGGAAACATGGGCCGAAGGGTGGACAGATGGACAAACGGGCTGGTAAGAAGCCCACCACGTCCATGAATCTAAAGATAAGGAAAAATTCGAGCAGGCCCACACGCGGACTAATGTTCGGCCCGACGGGTCGAGAGCTAGTACTGTCGGAGTCTGTGAAAAGACTTCGGGTGAAAGGGGAAAATCAGGGACAAACTCAAGGAACCTTTGCGAAAGGCTTAGAGGAGTGGGGAGAGAAGTCTCTGCAAACCCAGACACATCGACCAGAGAAAGTGATAGCCGACTATCTCCGTATAGATGATGTCAGACAGGGAGGTACAAATCTGGAGGAAGGACCATCAGGGGAGAAGACGGAGTCGATGGCGGCATGACGGGTTGCCCCGGCGTTTCAATGGCGTTTCAAGTTCCAATTCACAATGAATGTTCTTCTGTGGAATTGCCGGGGGGCAAATAAACCAAATTTCCGCCGATCGATTAGATATATGTTGAAGAAATTCAGCTCAGATATGCTTGCGTTGTTCGAAACACACGCGGGAGGGGAAAGAGCAGCCAGTATATGCCGAGGCTTGGGTTTTGAGAAGTCTTTTCGAGTGGATTCAGTAGGACAGAGCGGGGGACTTTGGCTCCTATGGCGCTCGGATGTGGGAGAGGTTACGATTATTGAATCGGCAGATCAATACATCTATGCACGGGTGGGGAATGGAAATGAGAGTACACACCTAATAGTGGTATACGCGGCTCCATCGGTGGGTCGGAGAAGCGGTCTGTGGGGGCAGCTGAGTCGGATAATTCAGAGTGTCGATGGCCCTCTTCTGGTTGGAGGAGACTTCAATACTATTGTTCGAGTGGATGAGAGAACCGGTGGGAATGGGCGGTTATCACCGGATTCGCTGGCATTTGGGGATTGAATCAATAATCTCTCGCTGATTGATATGGGTTTTAAAAGAAATAAATATACCTGGAAGAGGGGTCGAGAGGATCGGTCATATGTCGCTAAGAGGCTTGATCGAGTGTTGTGCTGTGCACAATTGAGATTGAAATGGCAGGAGGCAGTAGTCAGCCATTTACCGTTCTTGGCTTCTGATCATGCGCTACTGTATATTCAATTACAGCCCGAGGGGAGAGGGAATCCAAGGAGATGACCATTTCGCTTTGAGGCAGCTTGGCTAAAGCATACGAGTTTCAAAGATCTCCTCACCTTATCTTGGAATGGTGCGATTACTACACCGGTGGCGTTGAAGATGCTGAAGGTGACACTTCAAAAATGGAATAGAGAGGTGTTCGGGGTAGTGCAAGAAAGAAAGGAGAAGGTTATGAAGGAGATTCGTGAGGTTCAGGAGTTATTGGAAAGAAACCAAACTGATGACTTACTCAGTAAAGAGATTGCTCTCGGGAAGGCTTTCGATGAAATCTTGGAACAAGAGGAGATATTGTGGTTCCAGAAGTCCCGTGAGAAATGGGTGGCACTTGGAGACCAGAACACCAAGTACTACCATGCGACCACTATTGTGCGTAGAAGAAGAAACAAGATTGAAATGCTAAAGGGAGAGGATGGTAGATAGGTTACAGAACCACGGGAGCTAGAGTCTCTGGCCACAGACTACTTCAGAAGGTTATATTCGACTACAGAGCTCCCATTAGTAGTTGAAAAATTACCATCAGAGGGCTTCATGGCACTAACTCATGACGAACTGGAAGGCTTGAATAAGCCATTTACAGCAGAGGAAGTGGAGGCCTCAGTTAAAAGCATGGGGAAGTACAAAGCGCCGGGTCCGGATGGATATCAACCAGTGTTTTATCAGGAGAACTGGGATGTTGTGGGAGAATCAGTAGTTCGATTTGCTCTGGAGTTTTTCTCATCAGGACAGCTGCCCGTTGGGACGAATGATGCCTTGGTAGTACTGATTGCGAAGGTGCTTAAACCAGAGAAGATAATGCAATTCCGCCCTATAAGCCTATGTAATGTGCTGTTTAAAACCATTACAAAGGCCATGGTTATGAGGTTGAAGAAGGTGATGCCAAACCTAATAGGACCGGCTCAATCGAGTTTCATTCCGGGGCGTATGAGTACTGATAATATAGTGGTTGTTCAAGAGGTGGTGCATTCGATGCAGCATAAGAAAGGAAGGAGCGGTTGGATGCTACTCAAACTTGATTTGGAAAAAGCTTATGATAGAGTAAGATGGGATTTTCTTGAGGACACGCTGCGAGCAGCTCGAATTCCAGAGGTTTGGATCGGGTGGATTATGCAGGGAGTGACGGGGCCATCAATGAGTGTTTTATGGAATGGGGAAGTAACAGACGCCTTTAAACCTCAAAGGGGATTACGCCAAGGGGACCCACTCTCGCCGTATCTATTTGTGCTGTGTATCGAGAGACTGTGTCATCTTATAGAAAATTCGATAAAGGCGAAAGAGTGGAAGCCGATATAGATATCACGTGGGGGTCCGAAGCTCTCCCATATATGTTTCGCGGATGACTTGATCCTATTCGCAGAAGCTTCTGTGGTACAAGTTCGGGTGATAAGGAAGATACTTGAGAGATTCTGTGAAGCCTCAGGTCAGAAAGTCAGCTTGGAGAAGTCAAAAATCTTCTTCTCCAAGAATGTCTCTCGCCAACTGGGAACCCAAATAAGTGCAGAGAGTGGAATCCAGGCAACACGGGATCTTGGCAAGTACTTGGGTATGCCAATCCTACATAAGAGGATTAACAAAGAGACGTTTGGGGATACTCTCGAGAAAGTAGCTTCACGCTTAGCAGGTTAGAAAGGGAGATTACTCAGCTTCGCTGGGCGTATAACTCTTACAAAGGCAGTCCTCTCGTCAATACCGGTGCATACAATGAGTACCATAGCCCTGCCAAAGTCGACTCTTATCCGTTTAGATAGAGTGTCACGATCCTTTCTATGGAATGATACTCTTGAGCATAAGAAACAACACCTTATGTCTTGGAAGAAGGTTTGTAGACCGAGGAAAGAGGGAGGGTTGGGGATTAGACAGGCTTAGGATATGAATAAAGCGCTGGTAGCCAAGTTGGGTTGGAGGTTACTGCATGATAAATCAAGTCTGTGGGCAATAGTACTGCGTAACAAGTACAAGATAACGGATATACGGGATCCCAACTGGATGAATATAAGGAAAAACGGGTCTACTCTGTGGAGAAGTATGAGGACGAGCATCTGTGAAGTGATAGTTCTGGGTTTGCGTTGGATACCAGGAGATGGGCGGAATATCCGTTTTTGGGAAGATGCGTGGTTGTTTAGCGTGCCGTTATTAGACATGACAGAGAGTGTGGTTCCAGTGGAGCAACGGGATATTAGAGCACGAGAATTATGGAGAGATGGAGTGGGATGGCTATTACCACATATAGATCCTTATGTCTCTACCCATGTCAAACTGCAGCTATTGTCCGTGGTGTTGGATAGTGTGACGGGAGCGAGAGATCGAATTGCTTGGGGGGGCAGTAAAGACGGAAGATTTACTGTGAAATCAGCCCACTCATTCATCACACAAAATCTGGCGCCATCCCCTGATATGAAGGGTTTCTTTGATAAAGTCTGGAGGGTTGTGGTACCAGAGAGGATGCGAGTGTTTCTGTGGCTCACTGTAAACCAAGTCATCATAA